GTTATTTTTATAATGATCATCAAAAATAGAAATAAAATAAAAAAATCCTTCCTTAATTTTTTAATTCCTGAACTAATACTCGAAATATTTTCATTTCTAATAACTATTATTAATTAATTCAATAAATTGAATCCCTTCACGTTTGCATGTTTTGTTTTCTTATTTTTTGGTGAAATTTTTCTAACATTTTAATTTGGAATTTCTTTAATTTGTGCTATTCAAAAATTATAATTTGCATGATTATCATACAATTATGTTTTAAATTTTAAATTTCATTGAGTTATGCTATATTTTCATTAAAACGCATTGATCGTTGCAAATGCGTAGGTTAAAATTAAATTTCTTTTTTTTTTGAAAATTTTTAAAAAATGAAGCTATTCTGCTCAAACTTTGATTAACTTTTTGCCTATATTTGAAATGATTAATATATGAACAAATTCAAGTACACTAAATGAACTAACCCTTTTTGTCCAGATTTGTGTATGCTTAGTAATTAAAATTTTCAATTAGACATTTTAATTAGCGCTAATTTATTGTTTTTTCATTGGTAAAAAAAAAAAAAAGGAAGAAAAACAATTCATTGTTGCGGAACATATTGTTTTAGAAATAAAATTTCACTGATAAAGATATCGATAAGAATTAATTTCTTTTATATATTCTATTTTATTACACTATCAACTTATAATTCGTTAGAGAAAAATTTATTATCATTCGTTCATTATGATAATCAATATACAAACGAAAAAAAAAAGAAATGAAACATATCTTTATCAGTGATATACACTTACATCAAAACTAATTAATAACAAATTAATTTTTTGAAAATATAATTAATAATTATAATTAACTATATTTGCATAATAATTAAGAGATACTTGGTTGAATGGATGATTTGTGTTCAGTTGTTATTTTTCGTAGCGAAATGTTACATTTTCAGTCATGCCGTAATAGGTTATGGAAACGACAGAATTATGCAACGTCGCAATGCAGCAAATTATAATTGGCCGGAGTTATTATGCATAAAATGGTTAGAGGAAAACCGGAAATTGTACCGGATCTGCTTATTATACTCATACTATAGTTTATTAGAATGAATATCCGACAGTACAATTGTAATAACACTATCCGGTACAAAATAGTTTTCACATTAGCAGAGGTGTCCACAAAAAAAAAAAAAAAAAAAAGGAAAAAGTTCGAAAATTAAATCCATTTTCCTCTTTGGTTACTAATTTCTACGATGATTGCATTATATGGCTAATAGTGCAAGCATATTACTGTAATTAATAGTTGTATCGTTCGATTGAAATTATTAAATTAATATTCGTTTCTTGATTTTATTTTTAAGTATTTATCATAGACAAAACGTTGCTCAGTAATGATAAGCTATTGAATAATAATTACAAGTTTACATGTGAATTATAAGTTATAAGTTAATTAGAAATGAGAATTATAAGTTATGAATGCATGAAATGCAGCAGCTTTACTGAAATATCAAAATGTGAATGCTTTGTCAAATAACAAATGTAGCTTATCATCCATTTTTCTAAGATAATGAGCATATAATTAATGCAAAAGTATAAACAATTTTTAAATTTCGTATTTAATACAAATCACAACAACAATATATTAATTAGATATATTCAAATTTTTAAATTTTATATTTAATACAAATCACAATATCAATAATGTATTAATTAGATATATTCAAATTTCTAAATTTTATATTTAATACAAATCACAATATCAACAATGTATTAATTGTATATATTCAAATTTTTAAATTTTATATTTAATACAAATCACAATATCAACAATGTATTGATTAGATATATTCAAATTTTTAAATGTTATAGCTCTCTTTTTTATGATAATATCTAAATTGAAATAAGAAAGTAATCGGCAGAAAATTGCACTTTCAAGGATGAATGACGAAAAAAAAAAGAAAAATGACATATAAATCAATGAATTTATTTGGGAATGTATAATGTAAGAAAGTTATTGTCATATTTTAAAATTATCAATAAATTCAATAAATTTTGGTCAATGAATTTTGGTTCAAAAATTGTCAATAAATTCAATAAATTTTGGTTTTCAAAGTCAATAAACTTCGGTTTTTTTCTTTTTCATTTTTTCCGTTTTTTTCTTCTAAACTTTTAGCTAAATAATTACCATAGTTCATTTCATCAACATCATCTCTTTATACTTTGATAGGATAAAATAATTTGAAAATTTTAATCTTTCC